AAATATTTTAGTCCCCCCCCCCCCCCCGCCCCCGAATAGAAGGAACTGAAGAAGAAACAAGAGCTGGAGTGAAGACTCTCTTTAATTGGTTTTGTGAGATGGTCTGGCTGTCGGCTGAGCTACGGTGAGGCCATGGAAACGCTCCCTAATAGGAGCTGCTTCCTCAAGGGCGATTGGGGGGGGGGGAAGAGATGTCTTGGCCCCTCTGGGCCTTTTCAGGGGTTTGGGGAACTGACTGTGGTCAGGAAAGGGTTACTGGGCTCCAATCTGAGCCAAGAAGGTCGTCCCTTGGGTGGTCCATGGTGATGGGGAGGAGACTGAGCTCCCAAGACCAGGAGCAGTCTATCTCAGGTTAGTTAAAAGGCACCCAAAGGAACGCTGGGAGGGCTGCTCTTTCCCCCCTCCGTGCCCAGTTCCCTCCTGTACTCACGGGGGTTGGGGGGGTGTTCCCTACTTTTTCCTCCAGGTGCCCCCCAAATCTGAACCCCAACAGGCCGAGACTCACGTCTCACTGCTGTTTGCAGGTGGAGAGCTTCCGGATCTTGCTGCCAGCGGAGGAGGCCTTGCGGGAGGGGTTGGATGAGGCGCTGGCCCGCCGCTCGACTCTCGTCTTGCCGCTCAGCTGCCCCAGCTCCGTCCCGTTCATGCAGACCGGCTTGGGCAGCCCTCGGCCGTGGCTCTGCCCGTTCTGCCGGGCCTCGTCATCCGGCACCTGCCCTGGAGAGCAAAAAAAAAAAACCAGGGGCAGAGAGGGGGGAACGGGGAACAGAAGACGTAACAACAACAGTAACAACAACAGTGCCCCCCGAGCATGTGCAGAAGGCCCAGGGATCAAAGCCAGGTGGCCCCAACTTAAATCCAACGGCCGAAAAGCCAGCTACCTATTTTCTTTTGATGATTCCAAATTTTAAACATGGCTGTTTTAACGTTTAAAAATCAGGATAGAAATCCATTGGGTGTTTAAAAAAAACCAGCGATCTTGATCCACCCTGGATTGGAGGGTTCGAGGGCCAGGGGCTGAAGCAAACCCCAGCCCTTTTTATTGATCCGCCTGTGAGATAGGAAGCCCCCTCCCCTTTTAACCCTGATGGCTCAAAGCAGGGTGCACGGCTGCCTGCCTCCTTCCACCCTTATCCCCATCACAATGGCGCTGGCAGGTAGGGCAGGCCAGGAACGGGGGG